ATCTCGCGAGTCGCGCGTCTTCCAATATATTTATATTCTGGGGGAAACTCGCGACCTGACTCGCGAGTCGCGACTTGTCTCGCGAGTCGCGACACAGACTCGCGAGTCGCGACTCGTCTCGCGGAACTAGACTTTCGGCTCTGTTGGACTCGCGAGTCGCGACATTCTCGCGAGTCGCGACCATCTCGCGAGTCGCGACACTGACTCGCGAGTCGCGACTTGTTCTGGGCAGCTTTTCGGTCCGTTTTTCCGGTTCTTCCTTCAGTATTCTGAGCAAGTTAATGGGTCTTATGGATATCCGGGTCTCAGCTCAAGTAGTCCCGTCCTCGATCAACACAACCTACCTCCTGAAAACACAAACACGAAGAAAACACGAACAAAAACACAACAAAAAGACACACAAAACGAACTAAAGAGAGAAACGGAAAAATCACAGAATTGGACCAAATAAACTACGGAAATCCTATAAGTGGGGAAAAATAAAGAGAAAATAAAGCGAAAATAAAGACACAAAAATGGAACAAACAGCTGCCAGCAACGACCGCCACTGCAAGAGAATCGGACCTTCAAGCCCTCGATATCCCGCCATGACAGACCGAGGGTCGAAGTCCACGACGCGGAGAGAAAAGCCGCAAGCTGTCGGAACTCAGACAACGAACCAGGGCAAATTTGAAGGTGGTCGACATCGATAAGGGTGAGGGCCGCCGGAGAGGAGACTCGCGCGGCACAAATTTGGGGAAAATGGGTGAGGGTCTTTTGTTTCGCTGGAATTGGGGAGGAATGAGAGCCTGTTCCATGTGAGGTAATTCAAATATATTAAGTATGTGTATGTATGACAATCCAATCCAAAGTTATTTGGTATAAAAAATATAGTATTTTTTTTATCCAAATATTACAAAAAACAATATTTTGCCACATAATTACGAAGCATGCGAATCTGTCACTTAAACTCGGTGAAAGCACGCTGCCATCTTTCTGCTCCGCTTTGATTTCCGCCACCGGTCGCCGACAACGTGAACATCGTAGGGGTCTGTCGCTACCTACGTTGTTGTTTTCTTTCTTCAAATTTTTTTTTTGAACAATATGTGAAATTCCTTAAATGTCCTCATAAATCAGATTTTTTTAGTTAAAACAACTTTTATATATGATTGTGTGACAATTTGACAAACTTGTATAATTGAGGTGGTGGTTTGTAAAAAGGAAAAAATCCTCCCTCTATATGATTCCCGAATGCGCTGAGCCTACGTGTCTGCTTCTGGTGTTTCGGAATCCTACTTGGCGAAAATTATACTTCGTAATTAGGTTTGGACAAATAATATTAATATATTAATAATTAATAATCTAGGTTCGGACATTCTATAAATATTATTTAGCTAACTTAGGTACTTTAATATCACTTGTACTAGTATAACCCTTTAATTCTTTGTAATTTTACATAATAAGGCACTAGGTGACTAATATATCCCTGATTTTTTATTTGTTTCCTTCAATTAACTATTGAATTATAAATGTATTTTAAAAATTGATAACTTTGTATAAAGTCAAAAAGGAGTTTAGGTCAATTATGTTACAGGCTGCTAAAATGCCCTTCTTTCTTGTCTGTTTTACATTTATAATATATCAAATTAATCATCTTTTGATGATCTTCGATTTGACATATTGTATATATAAAATAAATAAATTATATTTATTTTTATAATAATAAAAAATAATAATATTTATTAAAATTCATTAGAAAAATAAAAAAATTTCTCAATTGATATATTTATGTTTAATGTCGTTATATGTTGTAAGTTAAAAAAATTATTATAATATAACACACGTAAGTCACACAAATAAAAAGTGTCATACTAAATATATAATAATATATATATTTTTATTAAAGGTATTTAAATTTTCAACTATTTTTTCTCATTAATTTTAGATTTTAAGTAAAAATTAACAAACACCCGTGTAATACACGGGCGTTGTACTAATATATAGTAATACCCGAAAATCATTATAGTCCGGATGAGAAAAAGAATTTTCCCTTTTCACAATACAACATACATATTTTTTGTTCAAAATGCCCGATGGGACTTTTCGACCATCTCACTCGAAAGACCCCTGAAATGTCGAAAATATATGCTTTTACTGGTTAATAATATCTACCATTATGATGGTGTAGGTGCACCGGCCCCAGAGGAAGATGGATCCCAGCCAGGTGGTTTGATATCTGGCCAATCCCCTCTGCATCCCATTCTTACATACAAACTTTTTCTACCTTCAAAAACCAGCAAAAAAATGTTATTTTTTTGTTTTATTTTATTTATTTATTTTTTCTCAGCACCAAGGTCACAAATAAAGATGATGATATATATTCATGCCTTTTGCACAATTTTTCTGCTACATTTATTATAACTAAATGAACATAAAAAATAATCACAACTTTTGCACCAGAAAAAAATGTGGAATCGCTTTTGAGAACGAAACACGGTAAAGAAAAAAATAAACGAACCTGTAAGTTTTTTATCGGACAAAACCAAGCGCTTGAGAGCACTGAGAGAAGCTTGAGCCACGGCTTTGGAATAAGTCGGGTCCCACCCAGCAAGCTTCACCACTACCTCGGCATTACTATAACCCTCATTGCCATCTTCCATGTTTTTCTTCGCCTCTTCTTTTGCTGACCCTTCATCTGATATATCAAAATTATGTTAAAAATGATTACAAAAAAAACTAAAGAAAAGCTATGGGAGAAAACTAATAATCTTATATAAGTTTACATAGTAGTTTTAGAATTATGTTTTATGTTGATTGTAGCATTGATTGATCACTAGTTGCATAAGGATGAAAAGTATTCCAAAGGCATCATCAATCGAGAAAAATATTACCAAGGCATTGACTTGAAAGTACACTAAAGTTATTATGTATATATATATATATATTTTTTTTTCGAAATAACAATAATCGTCACCACCTTTAGCTTCGGATTGTGACAGCCAAACTGTAAATCCAGAAAAAAGATGTTGCCACTTATTTGGCCTAACAGCTGCACCATGTTTGCCTCCCAACGTAGCTACAACTGTTCTCGCTTGGCTGGTTTATATTTATCATTTATGGACACACAGATAGTTTTAATTTGAAAAGTGAGAAGGGTAAATCGGGTATAAACGGGCGTGTGCATGTAAGAGTTGTACCTACTAAGACTCTCCAATACAGCATATTCTGCTTCTGCAACTGTATCAGAGCTTTCTTCCCTCACCCCTGCATTTTAATATGAAATTTATTACAAATAATGCATTTTTGAGAAGTGTTGTCCTAAATAGATTCTTTAGATTAAGTATGAAAAGTATAAGGTCCATTTAACCTTAGATGCATGAGAACATAGATAGATCAGATAACACTTCCTTTCAATAAAAAATCTAAAACTAGTTTTTGAGTGTATATGACATTTTTCACTGGCTTGTGAAAAATGTGAAGATCCTAAAACATCACGAGTCCCAAAAAGAATAAGAAACCTAAAAAGTAAGAGAAATTTACTTCTTTGAGAGAGCGAGAGAGGCTATTGTACTCACATGTATCAATAGTTTGCTTGATATACGATTCGAGTAGCTCTTTCGTGCTGAGTGGAGTGTAACTGTCAACATAGAAAGCACAAAGCACTTATTCTCAAAGCACCAAAAATTGACAAATGAAAATTAGAATTTTTGTCGACAAAAGATAAAATAATCTATAAATCGTACCCAAGACCAACAGCTAATTCTCGAGCCACCTTCTGGTTTATTTCTGTTGACTCCCCAACTAAAAATACAGAAGTCCCTTTCAATAGTTGAACGAGCCCTGTCGTTAAGGACTCCCAAGATTCCACTATATCAGGCCATTTTAGTTCCGGATCTAGCTTCTTCAAGTTAACTACAAGTTGGGCATCATCTATGTACCTATTTGAAAGAACAATATGAGAATACGAATATTGAATACCATATGTTTGTAATGGCTATGGAATAAGAGAATAATACGAATATTGAATACCATATTGTTTCGGAAGGCTTTATCACCCCAAAGAGACTATTTGTATCTAAGAGAGTCTGTAAATTTCCCGATTTTCTCACTTTAATCAATAAAGTGTTGTCACTAGCATCCACAAGGATGTCCCCTGGAGTTATGCTTTCCTCCCCGAGTTCCAATCTCAACTCTACCTCAGATGAATCATCAACAAACTGCATATTTAAATACATATGCCAGATTTAAACGGAACAATAATTATTACCTATACCTTCATCTGGAAGTATGTATATAAACCAAAATTTTGTTAAATGTTATAGATTCGGGGGAAGGGGTACAATCCGTAGAGGTGACTCGCACCATAAAAGGGTGAGTCTAAGTGCACCTTGTGAGGTTTCATCCCACTGGTGATGGGACGAGTAGCTCAATGGACGAGTATCCCACTGAGCTTATAGATTAGGCTCATTTGTTCTATAGAATCAATGTGAGACAATTCACAAGTGATACTCCAACCCGTCGTCTCCCCACTTGGTGAGTCCTTATCAAACCGTCCAGATCAGGCTCGGTTAGCAGAGAGTCAACACAAGAGAGTTATAGATTTCGTCACACACAACCAATTGGTTTTAAGATAAAACCTCACTTAGGTGCGCTCGCCTTCTTATGGTATGCTTCACCTCTAAGTGACCGCACCCTTTCTTGAATTTACAACTCAACAAACTTGGATAATTGAAAAGGCATATTATTAAACAAGATCAAAAGCTCAATAGAAACTCATGCAAATATCAGTGTAACCATACATATATTATTAAAAGTATAGTCGAATTGCCCAAAATCCAGTTATAGAGTACATCTTTTAATATTTTATAAATCGCGCTTGCTAACGGGCAAGGTTCGGCAAATTACAAGACCCACAAGAAGTCCATCATATGGTGTATAGAAGGCCGCAAGAAAATCCTAGCTCCACTATTTGCCCGATCACGGTTCGATCTGTATGCATACACACCAAATGCGTATATGTGTTTCTAGTGTTAAAGTCCAATGGGGTGGCACTTCTTTGCACCAAAAAATTCAGTTTAAATTTATTTGAAGACTCTAGAGGAAGGGTAAATTTCATTTAATACATGAAATCTTGTCAATTTCTTTATTAAATCAAGCCTAAACACCATGTGTGTATATGTGTTTATAGTGTTCAAAACCCAATGGGACGGTTCGTGTTTCCATCAACGAATTCAGTTCAAATTCATTCGAAAACACAAGAGTATAAAAGTTTCGTCATGAACTTAATGTCATTTTCATGATTTAATCAAGCCCATTTATCTGATAAAAGACATTAAGACAGAGACAGAAAATCCCTTCAACTTAACAACATAGCCCATATATCTGCTCCGTTCAATAGCTACAATATTTCGCACAACCATGTCTAATTAAACGCACACAAAACAAACCAAATAAAGATAAGCAGCAATTCACAGCTTGATGCAGGGAAGCGTACGAGTAGGAAAGATGAAAGATAAACCAGATACTCTTCTCCAAACTCTGGAAACAAAATAAAGAAAGGACAACCTTTTTATTTCCGAACGAGAAATTTCAAAGCCGGGCAACACATAAATTGCTTACCTCGTAATGGGTTGCATTTGGGGAGACAAAAGGAACTGTGCTGCAATTACAAAACAGAGTGTTCTTACGCTTCTTGGCTCCCAATCGGGAATATGAAGAGGCAAAATGGGTTTTGCGAAACAAGGGTTTTGGTGTGTAGGGGGAGAGAGAAGAAGAGTTATTGGGGAATAATAAAGCTCGAGCCTTTGTGGGCTTGAGAGAGAAGAAGCTCAGGTTAGTGGTCATTTTGTGCTGGGGTGATTTGAAGATAGAAAGCTACACATGGGATTTGGAAAGCAGAAGCCGTACTTGTAAGTTGTAATGGATAAGACAACAATAAGACGTGACCAAATGCCGGGCCGGTTCATGATCCTGCCGGACCTTCCGGGTCGGCTGGCCTCAAATGTTGGGCTCAAAATTGGCCCGGGTATATCTAAGAGCTTGTTCAACGGCTCGACCTGGCGGTACATTGAACTACCGATTTAATAAAAGAAATAAAAAAATAAAACAAAAAACAACTACGACTTATTGTTCAATCGGGAACTGACGGGTCAAAAAAGAAAAAGTAAGCCCTGAAACTGGCCTGGTTTTATCACGGATCCAATTTCAAGACCCATAGTATAGTTCGGTTCAGCCGACTGGGTCGACCCTTGCCATGTCTAGATAACATTTTCTATTAATATGTGGTAAATAAATTATCTTTAAGATTTGTAAATAAAATATTATAAATTGTGAGTCTGTTTGCTTCCCCATATTCTAATACGCCCCCTCACTTGTGACTTGTGAGTCATTCGGAAGCCCAAGCCCAACTGGGTGCCCTAAGCCTACTAGAAGTAGACTCCCATAAACGGGTACGTGGGGAAGCAGACTCCCATATGCGGGACTGGGAGAAAACGGGTACGGTCCCACTAACATGAAGCGCACCATAAGATGGAAAACCCATATGAAGTCTAAGTGGGGTTCCATCTTAAAACCAATTGGTGGAAGAAGGAGTAGCCCATTAGACTTATAAGGTGAGTCTATTTTCCATGTATGAACAATGTGGGACAACTCACAAGTGATATTCTAACACGCACCCTCACTTGTGAGTCCTTCGGAGCCCAAGCCCAACTGGGTGCCCCAAGCCTACTAGAAGTAACTCCCATAAACGGGTACGTGGGAAGCAGACTCCCATAAACGGATGCGAGAAGCTCAAGCCCAACTGGGTGCCCCAAGCCTACTAGAAGTAGACTCCCATAAACGGGTACGTGGGGAAGCAGACTCTCATATACGGGTACGTCATCACACGGTCCCAATAGAACCGACTCTGATACCATGTAAGAAATTGGGGAAAATGGGTGCGGTCTGATACCATGTAAGAAATTGGGGAAAATGGGTGCGGTCCCACTAACATGAAGCGCACCATGAGAGGGAAAACTCATATGAAGCCTAAGTGGGGTTCCATCCCAAAACCAATTGATGAAATGAAGAGTAGCCCATTAGACTTATAAGGTGGGTCTATTTTCCATGTATGAACAATGTGGGACAACTCACAAGTGATATTCTAACATAAATTATGTATATAAATATAGTATTAAATTATAAATTAGATAAGTGAAATATCATATTTCACATATACATAAGAATTTTAAATTATGTATATTTCTATAATATTAAAATTACAAATTAATTAATAGATATATCGTATTACCAAATTTTGGTCATAAGTGAATATGAACAATATAAATACAGACTATATAACTACAAATGAATCATTATATTGGTTGAAAATATATATAGTCTACAAATGAATCATTATATTGGTTGAAAATATTTTAAGGTATCATGGATAATTAATTAGTTGAAAATTATTATTACTGTTATTATTATAACAATCGTGTGTGATATGTTAGGGGTTTATCTGTGCTATTAGAATCAATTGACAGTTTTGTTAAAAGAAAATATCTAAATGAGATACCAAATAGAAAAAAAAAAAAGGATAATACTAATTTGTAATAAAAAGCTTGAATAACTTTTTTTTTTGGTACAAACTTTTTTTTAAAAAAAAAAAAATTATGTAACTTTCGTATGATATTTAGTGTAAATTATGATTAACTAGTCTTAGTATAACCATTATATAATCTAATAGTTAAAAATATAATTAAACTTCATTGATATAAGATGTAAATGTTTGCTACTATAAATAACTGAAAAAATGGGCGAGAAATTTTTATGCTTTTTAATATATGAATACTGTCTCTGGCTATATATATAAAGAGATTATATTATAGCCAACACAAGGTATGGTGTCAACTAGTAATATTTTTTTTTTTTTTTTAAAAAAATCATACTTATAAAGTTTCATGATTTATTTATATTTTTTTTTAATGTATGGCATTTAAATGTAAATTTTAATATACTAAAAGAACGTACATATGTTGTTGCACTTCGACCGACCTTCCGATGGTCTGTTGACCAATTTGCTCCCTGGAGACCACAAAGACGCCGAGAAGTGTTCCCGGCGTTAAACCTCTGACGAGTATAGGGCTATGGAAAATTGTATAGAATTGTAATGTAAAGTTTAGAATGTGCACAATGATTAACCTTTAACTTTTCCATTTATTACCTATTTATAGTAAATTATTAGCTTCTTGAATATGTTTTGCCCTACCTCGCTGCCCTAAGGCCAACTCGAGTGCCCAGATTGCTCGAGGGGTCGCTTGACGGTTATTTGGCTACTCGTGCGTCTGCCTAAATTCAAAATCATTTAGCCCTTTTGCTTGTGGCCCTACACGTGTCCTCTGTTAACAACATGACCTTGATATACTGTATTGTCAGATATGTCTCGTGTTCAAGCTACTATCGTACTTATTCTGTCTACGTTACTTACCTATTATGTTGTCTGAGTTACGGTTTATCAGAGCTGCTTGGATATATGACATCTCATTCTCAAATGTCCGAGCTACTTGTCTGCTATAATATTTGAGTTATCCTATGTCAGAGCTACATATACATCCAGTAAGTCCGAATTACTTGAGCTTATGATACTTCACTGTCACATGTCCTAGCTACTTGCCTCATATAATATCCGAACTATTCTATGTCCGAGCTACAGACATCTAGTAAGTCCGAGCTACGTGAGCCCACGATCTAACTGTCACATGTCCGAGCTATTTCCCTGTTATGATACCCGAGCTATCTTATGTACGAGCTACTTTGGGGGTGATTGGATGTAAAGATTTCACCCCAAATTTTATTAAACTCAAAATCTAACTTAACTTTAGCTCAACTTCACTATCATCAATATTATCAATTAACTAACACAACTCAATCAATTTTATCATTCATTATTTATCAACTCACATAATTTTAATTAAATATCGTTTCTCATTTATTTTATTGACAACATATTTTCATGTGTTGTAACTTTGTCACATGTGACATGTAAATATGTAATCAAACTTCTAACCGAAGTTATGAAACTATAAATTAGTTCATCATTTTTTTTTTTTTTA